AGAGAGCCTTCCTAAGCAAGTTACAACACCCGGAAGTCAAATAAGATAGAAAGATATTCAAAAACATTCGTGTGAAATGATGCCATAAACGAAGTTAAAAACCAAGTGATAGACTGGGAGAAAGTACTTGCAATGTATTTAATGAAATAAGAATTGAAATCTCTAATATATTTAAAATGCTTATGGAACAATAAGACAGGGTTAAACAACTGCAAAGAAAAATGCATAAAATTATGAATGAAACAAAAATGGCCACAAAAAGATGCTCAGTCTCACTGTTAGTTAACAGTGATGCAAATTTTATTTTTGGAGACAGTCTTGCTCTGTTACCCAGGTTAGACTGCAGTGGCATCATAGCTCACAGCAACCTCAAACTCCTGGGCTTAAGCAATCCTCCTGCCTCAGTCTCCTGAGTAGCTGGGACTGCAGGTGCTTGCCACCACACCCGGCTAATTTTTCCATTTTCTAGAGACTGATTAGGCTGGGAGAGTGATACAGATTAAAATAAAGTAACATTTTTTACCCATCTAATGTCTAGAAATTAAAAGATAGTACACATCAAAGCATTGACAAAATTGTAGGGCACTCTCATATACTGCCGGTGAGAGTGTACACTGATGACTTTTTTGGGAAGGTGATTTGGCCTTCCTTTTGATAGAGCAAATCCTCAAAACACTTTCACAGATAAAGATATACGTATCAACGATATATGTGTAAAGATGTTCAATACTTGTTTATCATAGAGAAAATGTGGAATGGAAACTAAATATCACACCAATATGGAAGAGATTAGGTACATTACAGGACATGACTACAAAGCAGTAAAAAAAGAATGAAGTAGGTCTATATGTACTGACAATGTGTATTAAGGGGGAGAAAACACTCCCAAGACACAAACATATAGAAATATTCCAGTAAAGTTTAATTTAAAAAAAAGGTTGTAGAAAAATAAATGTAAAATGAACCCATTTTTTGTTAAAGTACATTGCTCCCTAGCCACTTACACTCGCATATAAGTGTTGTAAGTACAGGAAACAAGTTTGGAAAGGTATACATCCAAATGTAATAACAGGCCGGGTGTGGTGGCTCACGCCTGTAATCCTAGCACTCTGGGAGGCCAAGGTGGGAGGATCACTTGAGCTCAAGAGTTCGAGACCAGCCTGAGCAAGAGCGAGACCCTGTTTCTACTAAAAATAGAAAAACTTAGCTACTCAGGAGGCTGAGGCAAGAGAATAGCTTGAGTCCAGGAGTTTGAGGTTGCTGTGAGCTAGGCTGAGGCCATGGCACTCTAGCCCAGGCAACAGAGTGAAACTCTTGTCTCAAAGAAGAAAAAAATAAAAAAGAAATGTAATAACAGAAATCAAATGAGTGGTTGGATTACAAGCAATATTTTTTTCTTCGTATTTTTCTGTATTTTCTCTAAAAGCATGTATTGTCTTCATAACCGACAAAAATAAAGACATTGTCACTAGAGTAGGAAACAAGCAAAAAGCAGGATTAAGAAGCCGTCTCAACAACTTCAAGGGGATAAAGTAGGTTATTGATTGGGAACACACTGGACACTGGAGAAAGCAGCATTCAGAGGCCATCCCACAATTTAACTGGCGCATTCAAATGGAAACAAAGAAAATAATTTTAAGATATTAAAATGCATTTACTTACATCACTGCTCAGGTTAATTTTTTATTATTTGAAACCATCAGCTATGAACATCTATTCTGAATGTTCTGAAAACCCTCATAATGCTACTTTAAGTTGCTGAGTGTAGGGTAAGATTAGAAAAGTGAAATATCAGTGAGAAATCTAATTTAGAACGATAATTTGAAAATGTTTGTCACTCTCTGAAAGCAACAACCTCCTTCTCAGTTCCATCCAAGGAAACACTCTAACAAAAATGAATGTAATAAAAAGAAAAAAAGAACATGAAGTAATAGGAAGTAAACTCACCTGAAATGGGCAACAGCTTCAATTACACTCTCCATGCCAGTCTCTTTGTTCTCCTAAAGGTACAAGAAACAAGTGTGTTTCAAGTTAATAATAGCA